AATAAAAAATTGGCTAAATAAATGGACACACAACAATTATCCGCCATTCATTGTTCAGTTCCATTATTAATTTGTGGTTTTAGTGCGGACTTCCGATTAGTTAGTTTCTAGAAGGATCTTTAAATATTTCGACGTAACCGCGATCTACAACAGCCGCAACAACCCACCCAATTCCTCCCGCTGAAGCTAGGGTATTAAAAGGTCCCAGTCGCGTGTTAGCTGTGGATTCATGGGCCAGTAGGTTATCTCCAGAAGGCGAGGCAGAAAAGACTTTTCCTACAAGGCGTGCGTTACAAATTGCGGTTATGTTTGTTTCTTTTTTGTGTTTTTTTGATTGTTGGCTTTGACGATTTAAATATTAAGTTTCGCCCAGAAGGAGCGATAAGTGGTAAATAACAAATAGATACAAATATGAAGAAACACTCGCTGCGAATTGTTCACATCCGGCAATAAATAAATAGTTTTAAATTTGTGATATAAATAAATAAATAATCGTGCAACATGGGTAGTATATATGTGCAATATACAGGTTAATTTTAAAGTGTAATATAAAATCCCCTCCCCCAACATATATACGAAAAGAATATAAATAATTAAATAAATAAATAAATAATTGGCTATAATAATGGACACATAACATAGATGTAAAAGGATTATTTCACGTTAAGCCGCCGATCTCTTCCAGCTCCGGTTGGTGACGTAACTCCACCACGTGCCGTTACGCGCTATCGAGTCCTTCACCGAATTCTGGAGAGGATTATGCCCCTTTCCGGAATACATTCTGCACGCGCGAGGATCACTTCTGGCGGGCACGACGGGTTCCTCCAGATAGCTAGCGGCTGGAGGCACCGGATCCGCCGATTACGTAACCTTCGGCCGAGAGCCGGGGTTGCTCCAAGAAAACTTGGCCAGGCCCTAATTAATGGAACCTGGCCACTACCTTCCTCGTCTCTTTTCGGCTGGTCTGAAATGGAGTTCCTATTGGACTTTTCTCTTCCCGTAGGGTCTTGGCCAGTCCGGCTTCAGAGACCGTTCTTCGGCGTCCGCGACCGGCGAAAACTTTGAACGGGCGGGATCACTCCTTTTTATTTGCTGCCAACCCATGCAGATTACGGACCTCTGTTCCCTGCATTTTGGGTCAATGTCCCTATAACCTACATTTGTCCGGCTTGAATTTGAATTCGCCCTCGAACTGACTAAAATTTTCACGTTGCCCATCACTGGACCCTAAACCCACTTTGCATCCCTAGTTTTCTCGATTAATCGATTACTGAGGGATGGCGACATAACACTTTGGTTGTGTTTGTGCAAAAGCGTGGAAACAAAAAATTAAAAATGGAAGAAAACCCAAAAACGCTTGCAGAATGTCAGTGCAGATGAAAAAAAAAACGCCTAGTCCAAGCTGTTGGTTATTATTGTTGGTCTTCATCGACAGGAGCCAATACCACAACAGGGCAAATCAGCAGAATAGTTGAAGTGCTGGAGGAGATCCACTAGAGAATCCCAGTGGGAAGGAACATACAGAGTGGGACTTCGCTCCCTACATGGACATCTTTTAATCTCTATTGGGGATCCACAAGACTTCACCTCCACCAGCTATTTGGCAGCTAAAGCGGATATGGAGGAAGCGCTGGCTTCTATAGGGAGGAGGGCGCCCGATAAGGTACAGCTGGAGGAGCCATTGCCAGGATGCTGGGCGACCTTCAGCAGCATCAGGCGGAAAACCCCCGTTCCCAATCCGGCTCCCACTTCCTCAAGGTCTAATATGCCTATTGAGATTTTGGCTGCTTGACAGTAAGAAGATGCCACATACATTGCGGGTGAACTTTGAAAACTTCGGTCACTCTACAAAGAATAAAATATTTCGATTAGTGAAACTCTTAGCCTATCTGAGTACTAGCCCTTCAGTTCTGAAATAGGGACGCGGCGACATGCCTGAAGGCAAAATACTTTTTTGTTTTTTTTTTGTGCCTAAAACGCTGTGTTGCTGTTGACGTCAGCAGAGAAGTCGGCGCAGCGTAGAAGACTGCCTACGAAAACGGTCGTGCAACAAAGAGAGGCAGATAGTCGGAGGATTTTTCTCCTTCTTTGTCTTATAATCTACCTGCACTCGGCGCTTTCAGAGACAAATTTCGACCGGTCCGTTTTTTTTTTCGTCTCTCCGTTATGTTCGGCCGGCAACTGACATTTCGGCGAAAAAACTTTCTTGGAGCAGCGACATGTGAATGCCCTAATATTTTAGGAGCATTGTTGTATTTGGAAAAAAACAACTAGTATTGTTTCATAAAAGTAAATTATTTGATTATAGTAAAATAAGTAAATTGAATTTACTTATAATATTATGTTTACGCATTATACATTATTACTACTTTATAATTTTCAGTTAAGTTATAGAAATTCAATCCGTTAAAAATGATTTAAGTATTTAAAATATTTTAATATTAACAATTTTTAAATATTCATTTTGTATTGTAAAAAATAAAAAAAAGAATTTTTTATTTAAGAAGTAAAAATTATGTAGTTGGATATTTTTCGCTTTAGAAAGGGTATAGGCAGTGGCACGTGCCAACTGCGAAGAGAAAACAAAAGAAATCAAGTAAAGGGGTGAGAGGAAGACTTGGTTCATTCTGTTTGAGCTATTGAAAGGAAGCAAGTCATTTAAATTGTGCGCAGCAAATTTACTTCTTTCGTTTTTTAAAGTGAAAATAATAAAGTCAGGTAAGTGTTACACTAAGTTTAAGATGTTGTGCATTGATCTTAGTTTAAAGTATTAAAATATTCAATGAGTTCCGTTAGCCGAAAGTGGATGATGAAATGTTTTGCGTTAATAAAAATACTGCAAAGGGTAAAACAGAGCTCTAAACGCATTTTTAAACATAAGTCCATAAATTTTTCAGGAGCGTTGGCCAAGGATTTGGAGGACCCGGACAAAGGTTTAAGGATGGCGATGACCAATGTAAAAAGAAAATGGACGTAACATAAAACTAGGTTTACTAACAATAATTGTCCTTTAACAGAAAACCTAAATAACACTATTTAATTAAAATAAATTTAAAAATTCATAAGTGAAAACTCATTGAAAAATTCTGATATTCACAAGTGATTTCAATTGGGACGTGTCACCGGCACGTGACAGGCCATACGAAAAATGAGTATAAGGAACAAGTGAAATTTCGTGGGACTTCGAAAAATATTCATTTGAATTTTCATTTGTGAAAATGCGGACATCCTATACAATTTTCTATATGGAGCGTCACTTGTTCTTCACTTGTGCAAGAGGACATGTCCCACGGGATTCACAAGTGAAACTTTTTTTTTGGTACTGAAGGGTAGTATCAATGTCCATCTACATGCCTTAAATTATTGAAATCGGACCAGTCATTAAAATGTTTAACCAAATAATAAGCAATATTTTGCAAATCAATAGAGATTTTACACCACATGAAGCAAATCAGCTATTTTTACTAATAAGGCTAGGTGGTGCTAGAGGCTAGGTGACCTTATAGGCTATAGGCTAGGTGTGTTAGTGAATAAAGCAGAGTTGCATTAAGCATATCTCCATGACTTCTATCTATGACTTCTTTCTACGATTCCTACTGTCTGATGGTGGTGTGCGGTCAATTTCAATTCAATTTTTAAAATTTTTACATAAATCCTCTATTTTTGAATTTGTATATTCTGTTCCCATGTCCATAATGAACGTCTTCATTGGGTCGTACTTCAGAATAAAATTTTATAATATAGCTTTCGCTACAGTTCTTGCACTGGTATAGCTATTGTGACAAGATATTTTGTTAAGTCGCAGATTAAAGTAACTGCATATTCGTTTCCTGTTTCTGATCTAGGTAGTGAACCTGTTGTACCCACAACTACCCTATCGAAAGCCCTTTGTGGGGTTTCAGTCATTGTTAGTGGGGTCTTGGTATGTTTAGTCGTTTTAGACTTTTGGCATATGGGGTATTTTCTTATGTACTCTTTTATGTCTTTAGACATATTTTTTCAATAATAGTATCTCTGGACCTTGGCCAAGGTTTTTGTAATGCCTGTATGACCTCCTTGTAATGGTTTGTCGTGGTATGTAGACATTATAGCTTCTTTTTCTTTATTATTTTTGATTACGGTCAGAGGGTTGAGTAGCGCTACTCTCAATGATTTCAATATTTTATTGTCCATATTCTTGAATGTATCAATTGTAACTTTTTAAAAGATTTTTCCCCACGGTGCCACTTTGAGTGTGCAGATTTTGTTAATACCGACCTGCTTTTTATAGCCTTTGGAAGAATTAACCTAAGTCAAGAGTTCCATTGGTATACAAATCGCTAATATCGTATCTTGCCCTAATTTTCTTTCCGTGTTTAAATAAACACAAATTATTATTTACTGGCAAGGTCACTACTTTACGTTGGGCTTAAAAGCTTTTTCTGTAGATTGCTTAAGCGATTCTTTTTGTTCTTTTCCTGCGCAGGATTTTTGTTTACTTTGATTTCTTTGAATTCGCCTTTTGTAAAAGATTTTGAGGCGTATGCAACTTGGAGTTGTAGTCCACTTTTTTTGAGCTAGGACTTATGCAAAATTTCTTATAAACCTTCTGTCCGCATCATGTGGGACTGGATAATTTTGAATGACGTCGTAGGGGACAAATGAGTATAAGGTACAAGTGAAGTCCCGAGGAACTTCAAAAATTTTCATTTGAACTTTGACTTGTGAAAAAGCGTACATCCCATACAATTGTCTATATAGAGTGCCACTTGTTCTTCACTCGTGCAAGGGGACGTGGCCCGCGGTAATCACAAGTGAAACTTTTTTATTTTTAACTGAAGGGAAGGGCCATATAAATATGAGTGTATCCCATAATTTCATAGCTCGAGCGGTTTAACATAAAGATAGCGTAAACGAGCCCTAACATGGAGAACAGCACTTCTTCCTTAAATTCCACCGTTCCACTTTCGTCGCTAATTACTGCACATTTTTCGTTTTTCCGCGATGGCCACATTTTTTTTTATTATTGTAGTTTATGGTTGAACTGGGGTGAAAACAAGTCTTTCGTTTTTCGCGTTTTGTTTTTGTATATATTTTGAAAGAATTACATAAAAAAAACTGCCCTCAAATAATGTACATAGTATGATAGTTAAGCAATAACTCGTTTCTGCTGTGGCGAATACGTATTAATAAATTAAAATAGTCTGGTGTAAATAAGTTTTTGTGCGGTTACCATGTAACTGTAATAGCGAAAAAAATAAGTCTTCCTTGTTGAGCAGATGTGTGACCTTATTTTGGACGAATTTACATTGAAAAGAAATTAGATTCCAAGGTGAGCTAACATTTCCTTTTTCTTCCAGATAGTAGTTCGATGTGAACAGCTGACTTCTAACCAAAACATCTTCAAACGAACGTGGGGACCGAATTTATGGCAAATTTATGTTGTTTTTGTTAAAACCCTCAAGACCTTTAAACAAACGTATATGGGACAAAGAGAATGTAAATATACATACAGTGAGTCACAAAAGTATTCGTTGCGAGGTATCCTACGAATGAATACATGTTTTTTTTAATGAAGATGTAAGAAATTAATATTTTTATTTATTGTTTAGCGTAACGCACTTATTAAACATACAAAAAATAACAAAAAATTAAACAAAAAGTAGCTTCAGTACTGTTTTTATACCCGTTACTCGTAGAGTAAAAGGGTATACTAGATTCGTCGGAAAGTATGTAACAGGCAGAAGGAAGCGTTTCCGACCCCATAAAGTATATATATTCTTGATCAGGATCACTAGCCGAGTCGATCTAGCCATGTCCGTCTGTCCGTCTGTCCGTCTGACCGTCTGTCCGTCTGTCTGTCCGGATGAACGCTGAGATCTCGGAAACTATGAGAGCTAGGCTATTGAGATTTGGCGTACAGATTCCTGAGCTTCTTACGCAGCGCAAGTTTGTTTCAGTAGACTGCCACGCCCACTCTAACGCCCACAAACCGCCCAAAACTGTAACTCCTAAAGTTTTGATGCTAGATAGAAAATTTTAACTGAAATGTATTGTTCTCATCAATACCTATCGATTGACCAAAAAAAAAGTTTGCCACGCCCACTTAAACGCCCACAAACCGCGAAAACCTGTGACGCCCACAATTTGCATGCTAGATAAGAAATTTTAACTGAAATGTATTGGTGTCGTCAATACCTATCGATTGATCCAAAAATAAATTTTCCACGCCCACTCTAACGCCCATAACGCTTAAATCTGTCTACCGCCGGTTGGTGGCGCATTTTAATCTCGCTTTGCTGCTGCATATCTCCATTTCCCTTTGAGTAACGGGTATCTGATAGTCGAGGTACTCGACTATAGCGTTCTTCCTTGTTTTCTTTGGAAATCATTAGAACTACAAAATATCGTCTCACAAAAGTATTCGTTTTTTTGTTTCGGCAATAAATATTTATGTTTTTTTTTTTAATTTAGTATTTTGTGTGCAAGCCGTTGTTTTCTTTAACAGCTTGTAAGCGTCTCGGCATTGACTCGACTAGTTTTCGGCACCTCATTTCGGGTATATTCGACCATTCCTTCAGCAATATCTCCTTAAGCTCGTTCTTGGAGGAGATCTTATGTTCCTGGACTTTTAGCCTAAGATGGGCCCAAAGATTTTCAATGGGGTTGACGTCTGGGCTCTGTGGAGGAGTGTGAATTTGCTTGGTGTTGTACAACAGCCACATCTTGACGTTTTAGACCGTATGTTTGGGATCATTGTCCTGTTGGAAAATGAACTTGTCGCGTTCTAGACCCATTTTGGTGGCACTGGAGTGTAAATTTTCCTTTAATATGTTTAGATAGCCTTCAGCATTCATAATTCCGTCTATAAAAACCAAATTTCCAACTCCTCGAGCGGACATGCAGCCCCAAACTAGTACGGAACCACCGCCATGCTTCACAGTTGGTTTGACATTTTTCAATTTAAGCTCTTCACAGGGCTTTCGCCACACTTTTCCTTCTCCATCAGATCCGAATATATTGAATTTGCTTTCATCACTAAATATAACTTGCTCCCAGTACTCAAAATTCCGGTCTAAATACGTTTGAGCGAAAGAAAGCCGTTTTGATATATGTATTGATGGACGACAGCAAGGGTTTCTTTCTAGGACATCTCCCATGCAAATCTTGGCTTTTGAGCACTCTTCGGACGGTTTCAGTGGATACGTTTGTTCTTAGGGATGTGGATATTACAGTATTAATTTTCGGAGCCGAAAGGTGCGGGTTTTTTTCTGTTTTCTTCGAGGATTTTCCTTTCTTCTCTGAAAGTTAATGATTTCGGACGACCAGAACGGGGTAGATTTTCCAGGGAATTTCTGGATTTTAGTCAAGAAACGAGACTCCTTATGGTTGAAGGACTTCTATCGAAGATCGCACAAATATATTCAATGGATCGACCCTCATTATGTAGGTATAAAATAATTTTTTCTTGCGAAACATTTAACTCCGTTCCCTTCGGCATTTTGTTAGAGATTTACACCAAGAATGACACCAAAAGTTTGTGTTTTTCCCCGGATTCAGACCTTAAAATACAAACGAAACCAAAATGCCAAAAAAAAAATAATGCGCTAGCCCCAAAAAATACTACAAAATAAAAAGTTTGCATGTGCAACGAATACTTTTGTGAGCATACAAAACGGTTCATGTTTATATTTTTGTCCATAACCTTTTAGGGAAAGCGTTTTCTGTTTGGTTTTTTTCGTCAAATTCTTCACAAAATATGTATCTTTGAAAACATAAACCATTTTTTAACATTTTAAAATGGTTACTTATTTAAAATTGGCCTTTTTCTCTTAACCCTCCTTGCAACGAATACTTTTGTGACTCACTGTACATACTTTTAAATTATTTTTAGAAAAAAAAAATTTGAATTTGTAAGCCCGACAGTTAATTTTATGTTGCCTTTCTTCGAGAAAACACGTAAAACAATGGAGTTGTTAAAAGGGTATATTCGTCAGAAAGTATGTAACAGGTAGAAGGAAGCGTTTCCGACCCCTTAAAGAATACATATTCTTGACCAGCATCACTCTACGAGTCGACCCAGCCATTTCCGTCTGTCCGTATAAATGCTGTGATTTCGTAAACTATAAGAGCTAAAATGTTGGGATTTCAGAATAGATTTCTTAGTTTCGTGCGCAGAGCGAATTAGTTACGCGAATAGGCCACCCACATTTTAACGGGCACAAGCCGCGCAAAACTGTGGCTTCTACAGTTTTAAAGTTAGAAAACATTTTTTAGTGAAATGTATTGCTCTCATAAATATGTACCTATCGATTGACCTACAACAAATTTTGCCACGCCTACTCAAAGAACCGTCAATATAAATACTGAAATCTCGGAAACTGTGAAAGCTAGAGAGTCGAGATTTTAGATTAAAATTAAGTTTATTACGCTTATGTGCCACCCCGACAAGCCGCCTAAAACGGTGGCCTCCACAGTTTTCATGCTAGAAAAAGTTTTTAAAATAAAAAATGGAAAACAGGTGGCACGAAATTTTTCATCAGAAAATACATACGTTAGAAAATCTCGCAAAGAATAAAAATATTTTATTAAATCTGACATTAACTTCTTCAACTTTTCGCTCTTAAAGCCCTCTAGTGTTCTAAGAAACTTTCATTAACAACGACGCGTATTTTAATGGAGCAGTTTAGCTATTAGGGCCACACAACTTTCATTGCACTTTAACTATCCTTATCCCACTTTCCTCTAACTTTTTTATAAGTGGGTTATAAATTGAGGAAAGCGCAAAACAAGTTAGGATAATCCGATAAGTACAAACGAAGATGTTAACTCTTGAATGTTTTTTTTTTTAAACTAAAAACAGTTTTTTTGATTTTGTTCTTAATTCATAACTAAATACGTCTGTACCAAAATTTCCTTACAGAGTGGTTAGTAAATAAAATAAATTTGTTTCAATTTTCCCCGAATTTCGCTCAAAAAGTTTTTTGCGACACCCCCATGTCCCATACGATCCAGTTTTTTATAATATTGGGACGACTTGTGGTCATGGTATACTGAAGTATACTAATATGAAAACTAACATTGAGAAATAAGTTGTATCTTTCAAAACGTTTGATATCAAACAGATACACATTTAATGTGGTTAACAAATATTTAAAAAACAAGTGTTGTGAGTGTGAAAGCTATTTTACAGTCATCAGGTTAATGACTAGCTCGATAAAGTGTAATGAAGCTTTAATAAAAATCCTTAACAAATAACATGACCTGTTTGTCAAACCTAAAACAAAAGTGACATACTGAAAACCCATTTGACAGGTAAACAAAACCAAAGTTTGTTAAGTAGTTCAAGTCAACAAAAAATTAAAGGTGTTCAACTAACCTCTTAGGTTTTTAAATAACTTTAAATAAAATGTTGCCAGTAATGGACATGATTATACCCGTTACTCGTAGAGTAAAAGGGTATACTAGATTCGTCGGAAAGTATTTAACAGGCAAAAGGAAGCGTTTCCGACCTCATTGATCAGGATCACTAGCCGAGTCGATCTAGCCATGTCCGTCTGTCCGTCTGTCTGTCCGGATGAACGCTGAGATCTCGGAAACTATAAGAGCTAGGCTATTGAGATTTGGCGTGCAGATTCCTGAGCTTCTTACGCAGCGCAAGTTTGTTTCAGCAGAGTGCCACGCCCACTCTAACGCCCACAATCCGCCCGAAACTGTGGCTCCTACAGTTTTGATGCTAGAATAAAAATTTTAACTGAAATGTATTGTTCTCATCAATACCTATCGATTGACCTTGCCACGCCCACTTTAACGCCCACAAAATGCCCAAACCTGTGACGCCCACAGTTTTCATGCTAGATAAAAAATTTTAACTGAAATGTATTGGTCTCGTCAATACCTATCGATTGATCCAAAAACTAATTGGGGCCGTTTGCATAGACAGTTCATCAAACTGCAAATTCCTCAACTCTTTCGATAAGTTGCAGCGCGTATTTGCATACATTTATAGCAGAGCCAAATCTGCGCCGTTAAAAGATCGTCTTTCGGTGGAGGAGATCAACTCTGGAACTGTACTTCTCTTAAGGAGCATCCAAAAGGTTAACTTGGCGATGGAGCTTGGATCTCTTAGCCAGGGCAAGCCGTTTCAACAGAAAAGCAAGCTGGTTTCGCTTTGGCCTTTACTCGGCTCGGATGGGTTACTTCGCGTGGGTGGAAGGCTTCAGAACGTAAACTTGGACTACGATACGAGGCATCCGATACTGTTGCCCAAGGATCATTCAGTTACCAAGGCGATCATCGTTTATTATCATGAGAAATATTTGCATGGAGGAT